CCCGATCAGACGGTAGTTGACACACACACACCCACACACACACACACACACACACACACACACACCCACCCACCCACGCACGCACGCACACACGCACGCACACACACACACACACACACTCTCTCTCTCTCTCACCCACACTCACACACACACACACACACACACACACACACACACACACACGCACATACACACACGCACACACACACATCACCACCATCACTACGTCACACACACTGCCATCACTCCGCACCACACGAACCTCCGCTGTCCTGTGCGACGGCCCCAGGGCGAATGCGCTGCAGCGGCTGGAGTCTGCGATGCGCGCGGAGAAGTTGCGGGAGCTGGACGATTTGCGACAGGAACTCGACTCGCGCTACGCCGACATTGTCGACCGCAAGCTTGCCGAGCAGCGCCACGCTCTCCTCGCACAGGCAAACCACGAGAAGGTGCGACTTGACGGCGTGGGGGCAGAGGGAGATGTTGTTGTTGTTGTTGATGTTGATGATGTGTGCATGCGTGTGTGTTTACTTGTGGTTTGTTGGGTGCGTCTTCATGTCCGTTTTGCCCTGTCTTGTTTCTTTCTTTCTTTTTTTTTTTTTCCTTTTGTGTTTCCTTCTTTGTTCTTTGCTCTTGTTTTTGTCTTTTCTTTGCTCGCGTGTGCACTGTGCATCCCCTCTCCTCTGTGCCTTGTTTGCGCGCTCGACTCTCTTTCTCTCTCTTTGGTCTGTTCCTGCAACCTCATTGCTGAGGTGTCTTGTCATTTAATGATTGCCGTCCACACCTGCTCACATGCGTACGCCATCCCCACCACCACCGCCACCGCCCGCTGCCCCGTGCCGCAGGTGTCTGAGCTTGAGTCGCTGCAGTCTGAGTTGACGCACCAGCAGGACGCCGATCTCGAGCGCATGCGCCGCGACCTCATTGCAGACAAGGACCGCGCAATCCAGGTGTGCACACGGCGGGGGTGCAAGGGGGTGTGATGTGGTGTGTGTGCGCCATAGGGTGTTGTATGTGTTGGTGTGTTTGGAAGCTCCATGCATTCCTGATGTTCGCTCAAAGTCTTATGTGTGTGTGTGTGCGTGTGAGCAGACGCTGCGGCGCCAGCATGCAGCAGCAGTGTCGCGGCTTGAGGGCGAGTTGGCGCAGCAGCAGCAGGAGCTGCGCGCCGAGCAGAAGCGCGCTCTTGATGACCTCCGCCACGACCTCACGGTCCGTTTGGCCAACAGCCGCCCCTCCTCTGTGCACTTGGCACATGGCACCCTACAGTGTGCACGTGTGTGCGTCTTGGGTTTGTTTTGTGCTGCTCGATGGCACATTCAACTGTCTTCCTACGTTTATGACTGCACACACACACACACACACACACACACACACACACGCACGCACACACACACACGCACACACACACACACACACACCGTCATCATTACCACCGCGTGCAGATTGACTTTGACAACGAGAAGCGAGCGAGCCTGAGCCAGCTCCAGGCGAAGCTTGAGGACGAGCACCGTGCGGCGATGCAGGAGCTGCGGCAACGCATTGAGACACAAGCCAGCAACCAGGCCGCAGCCAACCTGCAGAGGGAACTCGAACAGCAGCGCAAGAAGCTTCAGGTGACGCACAGCAAGGATGGACCTGTGTGGGTGTTGGGGGGGGGGAGGCGCGTGTGGGGTCATGTGGGGTCATGTGGGGTCATGTGGGGTCATGTGCGGTTTACGCACGAACGCACGAACGCACGAACGCACATACACACACACATGCGCACACGCACACACACACACACATGCGCGCACACACACGCACACACATGCGCAACACACACGCACACATATGCACACACGCAGACGCACACACGCACGCCCAGACCCCGATTCATGACTCACTTGTGTGTTGCTTTGTGCCAACTTTCCAATTCAGAGCCAACACAAGCGGCAGCAGCAGGTGGCGGTGAACAACTTGCGAAAGGAGCTGGAGGACAAGCACAAGCTTGAGGTGAAGCGCATCAAGGCGAGCGTGACACAGCGCGTGGAGGCCGAGTACGACACGAAGCTGAAGAAGGAGATTGAGATGCAGCGGCGCAAGGCGTCGTCCACGGCGTCCCGCACACAGGTGCAGAGCACAGAGCGGCTGTCGGCCGAGCACAAGCGCGACAAGCAAGAAGCGCTCGCCGCCCAGCGGGACAAGCTGGAGATGAAATACAAGGCCGAGATTGGTGAGGCGGATCTTGTTGGTGCTCGCATGGACATGTGCGCACGTGTGTGCAGCGGTTGCGCGCGTATGTTTTGGTGGGGTCCTTTGTTTGCTGGCTGTGCTGGCTGCATTTTCTCATTGCCTGGCACTTGCGCTTCATTCATCTGCCATGGCCTTTGCCACAACCTCTAACACACCCACGCCCCACCCGCACACTCACGCACACATGCACGCGCGAGCTTGCAGATCAACTGCAAACGCAGTTGCTGGAGGCGCGACAAATGGCCGACAGATACAAGATCCAATCCCACCAGACTGCAGAGTGCGTGCATGTGTGCGTGTGTGTTTGTTGTGTGTGTGCAGACACATGTGCATGCGTGTGCGCATGTTTCTGTCTGTCAGTGTGTGTGTCCCGAGTCTCCCCCCCCCCCCTGTTTGCCTGTCTGCGTGCCTGCCTGCCTATCTGTCTCTCTCTGTGCATTGGTTGTTCGCGAACACGAAACACTGCGGAGGTCTTTCTTGCTGACGCCAGTCTGACCACCGCTGTGTTGGTGGGGGTTGTTTTGCTTGCAGGCAACTGTCGCAGCAAGAGCAGAGCAACAAGCGCTCGCGTCAGGCACTGAAGGAGCGCCTGCGTGCTGTTCTCACCACATTCAAAACAGCCATGCTCCCACGCGCTGACGGTGTGTGTATCTTCTGTTTGCGCTCTAGTTTGCGCTGTTGTTTGCGCTTCTCAAGCTTCTTGGTCCATGTTGTCAGGCACCCATCAACATGCCCCATGATCAGTGCTCACTTGTGCACGCCCCCTCACACCAATCCCCATTCCCACCACTTTGTCCCCTCTCCCTCCGCCCTGTTCCACCAAACCTCACCGCATCTCCGCCAGCGCTGCCGGATGTGCACGAGGGGTCGCCGTCGCCAGCCATGAGCGCCATCATGTCGCTCATCTCGTGCCTGGGTAGCAACGAGTACAGCAGGATGGACGAGCTGTCCCTTGAGGCGAGCGCCGCGCCCCTGCACACCGTCGACGTGCTGCTGCGCTGCTGCGACGAGCTTACTGAGGGCCTCAACTCCGCCCACCGCGAGCTGCAAGCCATGCAGCAGAACATGGTGCGGGAGCGCAAGCTTGTGCGCAAGCAGGTGGAGGAGGAGCTGAAGGACGAGCACGCCGCCGAGCTCAAGGCCCTCCGCGTCGAGGTGCGCCCGCGTGTGTGTATGCTTTGTGTGTGCGTGTGCTTGTATGTGCGTGTGTGTGTGCGTGCAAGCGCTTGTGTATGTGTGTGTGTTTTGATAAGTAGAAGCGTGAATAGTTTTGGGAAGGGGGAGCTGGATGGGAAAGGGAGCGTCTGTTACGCGAACCGCTAGCGACTTTGTTCAGCAAGCGCTCCCTGACGTGCTCTCACACACACCATGTCACACCATCTCACACACACACAATCTCATACCATCTCACACCATCTCACACACACCATCTCACACACACCATCTCACACACACCATCTCACACACACCATCTCACACACACCATCTCACACACACCATCTCCACACACATCCACAACCACACACGCAATCGTCCCACGCCCCTGCCTCGCCTGCAGATGACACGTGAGTTTGACCACGAGTTGGAGCAGCGGGTGCAGGCTGCGCGGCAGGTGTACGACCAGGAGCTGAACCGCAACCGCCGCGACATGCAGCACCAGCTCAGGGAGTACCAGGCACAGACGGCCGCACAGCAGCGGCAGACAAGCTCCGTCCTGCGCGAGGTCCGCCCTCTCGTGTGTGTGTGTGTGTGTGCATGTGGGTGTGTGTGTGTGCATGTGTATGTGTATGTGTGCAGGTGTGTGCGCTGCGTGTTTGGTTGGGGCGAGTGTTCGCAGTCATGTATGCGTGCGAGTACACTTGCTCGTGCGCGCGCGCGCGTGTGTGTTTTTGGTCTACTGTGTTGGTCATTGATGACGCTCCATCTCTTCCTTGATCCCTGCTTTGTTTGTGCAGAAACTTGATCGGGAGAAGGAGACGATGGTGCTGCGGCTGCAGGATCATCTTGAGACAACCAAAGTGGACGGGCGCGCCAAGGATGCTCTGGAGGTGAGCTGCCGCGCTTGTGTTGGCAATGATGGCGGAAAGTTGCACATCTGTATGCCTGTCTGTTATTGCGGCACGTGTGCAGCACGTGTGTGTGTGTGTGCTCTTTAACTTTCTGCACACACATGCATTTGCGTGCACTGTCTCTTGCATGCACGAAGCACCACACACATAGTTGACACACACATACACACACACGTACATACATACACTCTCACTCTAACACTCGCAAACACACAAAAAACAACAAAAACAATAAAAACTCCATCCATGCACCATAATTCTCGTCCTTTGGTTGTGTTTTGTTCGTCATGTGTAGCGCAAGCTGTCCACCTTTGAGAAGGACCTGCGACAGGCCGAGGACGTCATCTTCCAGCTGCGCTCAGAGAATGAGAAGCTGCGCACAAAAGTGCACGAGCTGCAGGCCAACCTGCACAAGACGGGCAGTGCTGGTGGCCACAGCAGTGCTGAGGTGCACAAGCTGACCCTTGAGCGGCGGCAGCTCGTCAAGGAGAAGGTGGCCTTGGAACGGCAGGTTGCCTTGCTGCGTCAGCGTGCCTCTGCTTGAGTGAAGTGATGGCAAGCAAGTGACAATTGCTCGCGTGTTGTCTGTGTGTCGGGATTCGGTCGTTTGGGGTTTCGGTTTCTTTGCTTTGCTTTCTTTCCTTTGCTTTGCCTTGTGTGTGTGCGTGTGTGTGTGTGTGCGTGTGTGTGTGTGTGTGTGTGTGTGTGTGTGTGTGTGTGTGTGTGTGTGTGTGTGTGTGTGTGTGTGTTTGCAGTGTTTCTGCGTGAGTGGAAAGGTGTGTTGTGTTTGGAGCAAGACTGATATCAGTCTCGACTGAATTAAATCGCAATTGAAGAAGCTGCTAAGAAGAGTTGTTGTGCAATGTCTTATCCACCGGGGCGGGACAAAGCCAGATTGGCGCCAATGCGTCCACGCGGAAGCTTCAAATTTTGCACGCCACTACGTCGTGAGAAGTGCAAGGCGGAAAGAGGTGTGTGCCATGATGTGATGTGGGCGCGCGCCATGCGACCAAGCCAGCCAAGCCCACAGCAGTGTCTTGAGGCTTGCTCGTTGTTGATGTGTTTGCTTGCTGGCTGGGTTTGTTGGCTGGAGATGGCAGGAGGGGATGGGTGAGGGAAGGGGGGAAGCTGGATGGATGGGTAGTGGAGTTGCTCTGTGTGTGTGTGCGTGCGTGTGCATGTGTGCAGGCCTTAAAGCCTTTATTGTTTGCTTTGCCGGTCCTCCACCACATGGCTGTTGTCCATGCTTGATTGATCCCTTTTGCGCTCACGCAAACGCACACACACACACACACACACACACACACACACACACACACACCCACCTCTGTTTCCCATCCACTGTTTGTGTTCTTGATGGGCTTGTTGCTGGGTTCCTGCACCCATTTTACATTGTTGTTACCAGTGCACAGCAGAGGACATCATCCCGCGGTGCCGTCCCTTGGATCTTGATTTCACTTGGCTGTTCGGACTCATTCGTTCGTTTGTGTCTGGTTGGTGGCATCTCCCTGAAGTTCATCAGCCATGTCGCACACGGAGTTGGAGGTCACGCTGGACCCCAGCCTCGGTCTCGGCGTCGACTTGGCCGGTGGCGTGGACTCTCCTTACGAGGAAGGTGAGTGAGAGCCCTCCACGTGCCAGCATGTGATGACCTCGTGCTGCTTCTCCTTCCCACTGCTGAGCCTGCTTGGTCACCTGCAATTTCATGTTGTGACATGACATGACGCATGCAAAAGGGTGGCATAAAAGCTCATGAGCAGCCGAGCACCACACCACCAATCATCTCCTGGTCACTGACTCTGCGCGCCTTTGTTTGCTGTGTTTGCTGTTTTGTGCAGACAACAACGGCATCTATGTGGTGCGCGTGGAAGCGAACGGCGCTGCGGAGAAGGCCGGCGTGAAGGCTGGTGACCGCATCGTGTGCGTTGGTTCCACGGACACTGAGAACGTCAAGCACGAGGTCGCTGTCGAAGCCCTGCGTGAAGAACTTCAGAAGGAGAAGGTGCGTGGTGGTGCTACCTGCTGAAGTGTCAGCTTGGCCACGGTTGTTTTTGCGTGTGAGTGTGCGCCCTCCTGCCAGTGCAACCCATTACTGCGTACGCTTGTCCTGCGATTCCTGGCACCGCGAACACCTTTCTGTTTCTCTCTCTCTCTCTCTCTCTCCTTCCTCCAGCTCAAACAGCGACAAGACTAACAGCGACAGCTGCTTTGTTCTGCTTCCCCCGCCACTCGTGTTCTTATCTCATCGTCCCGTGTGTCCTGTTTTTGTCTTGTATCAACTGCCATCCACAACAGCCCACTCTGACGCTGCTGCGCAAGTCCGGCAGCCCCACGGAGCCGCGCCGGGAGACGCTCAGCCTGAACGACACCACAACGGGCGAGACCTCCACCGATGAGCAGGTGGTCACCACGAAGGCCGACGGCGCTGCTGCCGCTACAGACTTCAGCGACAGCGCCATGACCCCGATCAACACCAAGGGCCCTGGTGGCTTTGGCTGCCGCCTGCCGCAGCTGGTCGAGCTCATTGCCGAGCGTGGCACCAATGGCATGGAGCGCCTGCACGTGCACTTTGGTGGCATCGAAGGCCTGGCCAAGAAGCTCCTCACGGATCTTGCCGCCGGTATCACCGCCACGGAGGATGACATTGAGGTCAGTGCCGCTGCTGCTGCTGCTGCTGCTGCAACACGTGTCGCGGCTCGCATCACAAACAACATGAGCAAGCAAGCACGAAAGCAAGCATGATGGGGAAGGGGAGGCGCTAACACTCGCGCCCAGCAGCTCAATTCACCACACACCTACACGTGTGCGCATCCACACTTTCTCTCACACACACTTTCTGTGATGCAGCTTCTCTCACACAACTTCACACACACACGCACGCACACACGCACGCTCACACACTCTCTCATACTGTCACGCCCACGTGTTTGTCTTGTTCTCGCTTGCCCATCTGTGAACAGCGCCGCACAAGTGTGTTTGGGACCAACACGACACCGGAAGTGCGGCCCAAGACGCTGCTTGAGCTGATGTGGGAGGCGTTCCAGGACCCGATTCTCATCATCCTCATGGTTGCCGCCGTGCTCTCCGTCGTGCTGAACATCACCGTGGAGAAGGATTACGACACGGGCTGGATTGAGGGCGTAGCTATTGTCATCTCGTGCTTCATTGTCGTCATGGTCACCGCCGTCAACGATCTGCAGAAGGAGAAGCAGTTCCGTGAGCTCAAGGCCAAGCAGGCCAGCCAGCACCTTGCCGATGTCATTCGCAACGGCGAGCCCACCCAGGTTCTCTACACCGACCTTGTTGTTGGTGACATTGTCGAAGTCAAGGGCGGCCTCGTGCTCCCCGCCGACGGTGTTCTGGTACGTCTACAACATGTGCGATGCTTCTGCCAACCTGCGTGTGAATAATGCACGGCTGCATGCACGGGTGTGCTTTGTCGTGTCAAGTGTGCGTTGCCGTCCTTCCTCTCGCTCATCTCACTCCTGCTGACACCGCCTCCCTCGCTTGTTTTGTTGTCTTGCGTTGTTTTACCCCCAACTTTTTCTGATCAGATCCAAGCGAACGATGTGATGACGGACGAGTCGGCGCTTACCGGCGAATCTCATGACATTAAGAAAGACCTCGTCAAGAACCCATGGCTCCTCTCTGGTACGTACACGCACATAGACATAGATGGACAGACAGAGAGAGACAGAGAGACAGAGAGACAGGCAGACAGACAGACAGACAGACAGGCAGACAGACACACAGACACACAGACAGACAGACACACCTTGCTTCTACTCTCTTTCTCACGTATCTCCGTGCCTCACGCGTTGCATCAACGCTGTCACAGGTACGAGTGTGAAGCAGGGCAGCGGCCGCATGATTGTGACGTGCGTGGGCCTCTTCTCTGAGGAAGGCATCATCCAGAAGCTGATTACGGGCGTGGGCATTGAGGAGACGGAGCGACTTGAAGCACTTGCCAAGGAAGGTCTCACCGCTGCCGAGCAGATGGAGGCCGAGGACGCAGCCGCCATCATCCACCGCGTACGTCACCCGTGTTACGTTTGGCTCACTGGCTCGATGCGTTGGGGGGGGGGGGGGATGGCTGTTGCTGTTGTTGGGATGGTGCTTTTCATCTCTTAGATCGCTATTGTGGCGATCGTGGTTGTGGTGGTGGCTGTGATTGGTTGTGGTGGGGGTGGCTGCTATTGGTTGTGGTTGTCGTGGTTGCATTATCCTGTAAGGACAGGCAAGCTTGATCGTTTTGCACGCGTTGCTAACGCCTTTATTGTTTTCTTCTGCTTTCTCACTCCTTTTGTGTGCCCTTCAATGCGCATCCCTCTGTCCCCCCTGCACCCTTCTCTCCCTGCTCTTACACCCTCATCTCCCTGCTCTTCCTCCCACAACATCACCGCCCGTGCAGGTGGACGAGCGACAGCAGGAGAACTTTGACGACCTGGAGCCCGACGTGCAGGACAAGCTGGAGAAGAAGGAGAGCAAGAAGAAGAGCAACAAGGAGTCGATTTTGCAGAAGAAGCTGGAGAAGCTTGCTGTGCAGATTGGGTACTTTGCCACCTTCTTTGCTGTGCTGACCATTGTGGAGCTGATTCTCGCCTACACCATTGACGAGTACGCCATCAAGAAGAACGACTACGACAGCCACATGTGGAACGAGTTTGTCGACTACTTTATCACCGGCATCACCGTGCTCGTCGTCGCCATTCCCGAAGGCCTCCCGCTTGCCGTCACCATCTCCCTCGCCTACTCTGTCAAGAAGATGTTCCGCGACCACAACCTTGTGCGCGTGCTCGCTGCATGCGAGACAATGGGTAACGCCACCACCATCTGCTCCGACAAGACTGGCACGCTCACCAAGAACCGCATGACAGTCGTGCGCTCGTGGGTTGGCGGCAAGAAGTACGACGACGTGGAGGAGATTAAGAAGGAGGTCACGGCGCCTGTTCTGGACGACCTGGCGCAGGGCATTGCCATCAACAGCGACTACCTCTCCACCTACACCATCAACGAGGCGGACGGCCTGCCCGTGCAGCAGAACAACAAGACCGAGTGCGCGTGCCTGCAGTACGCAGACCAGATTGTGTCCAAGACGCACAAGCAATATCGCAAGGAGACGCCGGCGGAGGACTTTGTCAAGGCGTACCCCTTCAACTCTGCCAAGAAGCGCATGGAGACCATCATCCAGCTGCCCAACGGCACGTACCGCATGTTTGTCAAGGGCGCCTCGGAGATTATTCTCAGCATGTCCACCCACTACGCAGACGCAAACGGCGAGCGCCAGCCCATCACCGACGACTTGCGCGAGGACATTGGCGACAACGTGATTGTGGAGTTTGCCTCGCAGGCGCTGCGTGTCATCTGCCTTGCCTACCGCGACTTTGACACGGCGCAGGACTGGGACAACGAGGAGGCGCTGCTTGAGGACCTGACTGTCGCCTGCTTTGTCGGCATCCAGGACCCCGTGCGCGACGAGGTGCCTGGCGCTGTCGAGACGTGCCGTGACGCTGGTGTGGTTGTGCGCATGGTGACTGGCGACAACTTGATCACTGCTCGCGCCATTGCCGTCAACTGCAACATCATCACCAAGGACGAAGCCAACGAGGACGGCCGCGTCATGGAGGTGCGCATGTTTGCGTGTTGCGTTCTGTTTTGCGCGGGAATGCAGTTGTGCTGTGGTGTGCTTGTTTGTGTGCTTGTTTGGTGTGCTTGTTTGTGTGCTTGTTTGGCGTGCGCGTGTGTTAGCATCCAAGAAGTGCCTAATAATAGGTCAGAGGGCGCCTGATTTCTCTCACACCTTGGCCGGTTTTGCTTTGCCTGTTCACTCACTCATTCAACACACACACACACACACACACCCTCTTTCCAAAACACCACTGACAGGGTCCCGTGTTCCGCCAGCGTGTGACGCGCGCCGATGGCTCGATTGACTTTGAGGAAATGGACAAGATCTGGCCCCAGCTCCGCGTGCTTGCGCGTTGCTCTCCCTCGGACAAGTACAACCTTGTCAAGGGCCTCATTCGTGCAGGTATGCAAGATCGTCTGTGAGAGCGTCTGTGAGAGCGTCTGTGAGAGCGTCTGTGAGAGCGTGTGTGAGAGCGTGTGCGTGGGTTGGAAAGTGCCTCCTTCTGTTTCTTCTGTTTTATCTCTTTCACAACTACTCAAGTGATCACGTTGATGGACCCAGCCTGCAATTGTCTTTCTGCACGAAAACTGTTTCGACTCCTTGTTCATCACCTCCTCCCTACTCACACACGCACACACACACACACACACACACACACACACACACACACACACACACACACACACACACACACACACACACGCAACCACTGTCATCCCTCCTTTTGAACCCTGTCGCGCGAACAACTCCTTCCCCCCCCCCCAAACACACTTAACACACAACAGGCGAGGTTGTGGCCGTGACTGGTGACGGTACGAACGACGGCCCTGCGCTGTCGGAGGCCGATGTTGGCTTTGCCATGGGCATTGCCGGTACAGACGTTGCCAAGAATGCTTCGGACATCATCATCACGGACGACAACTTCAGCTCCATTGTCAAGGCCATCTCGTGGGGCCGCAACGTGTACGACTCCATCTCCAAGTTCCTTGTCTTCCAGCTCACCGTCAACGTTGTTGCCGTGCTTGTTGCCTTCATCGGCGCCTGCGCCCTCCGCACCTCTCCGCTCCGTGCTGTGCAGCTGCTCTGGGTCAACCTCATCATGGACACGTTTGCCGCCCTTGCTCTCGCCACTGAGGTTCGTCTTGGTGCTTTGGTCCTCATGTCTGCTGGTGGTGCTGTGCCGGCCCGTGCCTGTGGATGCAATCGTCCCGCTGCTTTTTTGTGTTGTGGTTTGGTTTTGATTATTGTTTTGGTGTTCTTGAATTATTTTTTTTTGTGTGTTGCTTTTGTTGTATTGGTTCTGCACTCACCTTTTCAACCCCTGCCCTCCCTTGCACAACCCCAAAACACCACACCACCTTGCTGATGGTGGCTGTCTGTCTGCGGTAGCAACCGACACCGGACCTGCTGAAGCGCAAGCCGTACGGCCGCAACAAGGCGCTGCTTTCCCGCATCATGATTCGCCAGATTGGCGGCCACTCCATCTACCAGCTTGCTGTCATTCTCTTCCTCGTCTTCTATGGCGACAAGATGTTTGACATCCCTAACGGCGGCGACCTGGCCACGGGCACCCCCGAGTCCCCGTCCCAGCACTTTACGATCGTCTTCAACACGTTTGTGTGGATGCAGATTTTCAACGAAATCAACGCGCGCGTGATCCACGACGACCTGTACTTTGAGACGAGCTCTGGCCGTATCATTGGCGGGCCCCTCGGCGCCCTCATGCGCCCCTTCAAGGGCTTCTTCACCAACCCCATCTTCGTCTGTGTCGTCCTTGGCACAGCCGTTGCCCAGGCCATCATCACCGAAGTTGGCGGCCAAGCCCTCTTCACCGAGCCCCTCACCGCCGGGCAATGGGGCGTGTGCATTGTACGTAAACATCTGCTGCTGTACACACACACACACACACACACACACACACACACACACACACACACACACACACACACACACACACACACAAGTATGGAGGGCTTGGCAGCAGGGGGCTTTGACGTGCGTTTGTCGTGTTGTGTTCGTTTTATCCTTGTGTGTGTGTGTTGCGTTCCACAATGTTGGTCACTCCAAAGGGTACAATGTGGGATGTTCGCGATCCCCCGGTTTGCAGTTGTTTCGCGTTGGATCCCGTCACCCCGAACACACCTATCTCACCCATTCCCCGTTCTGTTGTGGCATGCAGGCATTTGGCGCTTTCTCGCTTCTCTGGAACGTCATCATCCACTTCCTCCTTCCTTGGGAGTGGATTCCTGAGGTGTGTTGTCGTCTCCACTTGCCTTGTTTATTGATTGTGTCTGCTGCTCTCAATTGTCAAAGCACCCCACGTCTTCAAGGGTCTTATGTGCAAGTTGCATGGCCTCGCACACCCACTCTTTGTTTCCAAGCTCACATTTGTCTGTGTGTGTGTGTGTGTGCGTGTGTGTTGTTGTCGTTGCTGCCATTGTCTTGTTGTCGTCCGCCGCCAGTGGTTTGAGCCTGGCCAGTACAAGGAGCTTACCCCGGACCGTGCTGCCGAGGTTGCGGAGAAGGACGAGGAGATTGAGCTGCCCGAGGGTGGCCTTGATGCCCCTCGCACACCCAGCATGTCCCGCGCCACCACCATGTCCCGCGCCGCCACCATCTCCGGCCCCATGCGCCACGGCACCATGTCGGGGTACGTCTCCTCCTGCATGCTGTTTTGTCTCGTTGAGTTGCCCGTGTCACGCCACAGGTTATCTTTCTGAGCACACGATCTCTGCATAGCATGCGTGCACTGCCACCTGCAACTGTGCACACCATGTGTGAATGACTTCCTGCTTGCCGTCTTCGTTACGCCCATCGCCCGCACCTCCCCCCCCCTCTTTTCCTCTTGAACTCTGACACCTCTCGTTCTCACGCTTTTCTCTCGTGCCTTTACCCATCATGTCCCATTGCATCACAACAACCAAACAACAACCAAACAACAACACAAACCCCCCGATAGTGAGGGAACGCCTGTTCCACAGCGTCGCCAAACGGACAGTGGGCTGCTGTGGCTGCGCATTGGCCGTCGTCTCCGCACCCAAGTCCGCGTTGCGGGTGCCTTCCGCGCTGCCGGCAACATTGCCCGCCTCCGCCGCCGCACGTCCATGCTCGCCAGCCGCGCTCTTGGTGGCCCCCACGGCCGCGCTGCCCCAACCTACATGCACGAGCACCACGCCGACGAGAAGCCGCCAACGCCTGCGCTGGCCATGTGGCGCACGGCTGTTGCCCGGCTGCGCTCCCAGCTCCGCGTTGTGCGCGCGTTCCAGTCTGCAGTCAGCCGGCCGCCACCCGCGATTGAGGACAGGGAAATGCGCCAGTTCTCCTCTGCATCCGAGCTCATCCCGGTACGTAGCAGCCCTTGTGATAAGAGAGAGAGAGAGAGAGAGAGAGAGAGAGAGAGAGAGAGAGAGAGAGAGAGAGAGAGAGAGAGGGGGGGGGGAGGATAGCAACGCTGGGGACGGGGCCGTCTTGATGCTCGTTGCACGCATGCATGTCAAACTGCACGCGCTTCTGCTTCTGTTTGATCATGGGTGGCCGATGCGATTGAGCGAAGTTGGTGTAAGCAAAGTTGGTGCAAGCGCGTGCTTGCCCACTTCCTGAATTATGTTACCTCCCCCGTAACTGTTGGGCTCTCTCCTGTTTTCCTAACACTTCTTCCTCGTCTCGTGTTTTGTCTCCTGCCACTTGTTCCCTTCGTGTCTTTTCTCACATGTCTCAGGAGCAAGAGGACAATGCGAATGGCTCGGGAGAAGACAAGCCCGATTCCGATGCGGCAGATGTTGTCACCATCTAGGGTTTTGTGTGCAGTTATGTCAAAAAAGTTTCCTTAACTCGCCCCTCCCCCTTATCCACCCATTGCTTTTCCATCCACACACTCCTCTCGTGCTCACTAGCATCGTTTTTCTGTCTGCTTTGAGTTTGATGAATGCCCTTCGTTTTTGTGTCGTGGCATGAATTAACTCATGTGTATGCGTGTCCTGTGTGTATGCGTGAGTTGTGCGTGTTTGCGTGTCTTGTGTGTGTTGTGTGTATGCGTGTGTTGTGTGTTGTGTGTGTTGTGTTTTGTATCTGCGTTCACGTATGTTTGTGTTGATGTATGTTTGTGCTCGCTGCTGACTTGATGATGCCTTTGCATCCCATCATGGCTGATGGATCAAGATATGAGGCGCACGCTCGGTTCATGTCATTATAATTTCGCCCCCACCCTCCCCTTCGCCAACACAAACATACCAAGTCCTTTCCTCCTTTTCCTCCACTGCTGTCCTCTCTATCCTGTCTTGTTCTTGCGTGCTTGTTGCTCCCTCCCCCTCTTTTTGTCACCTCATGATGATGATGATGATGATGATGATGATGATGATGATGATGATGATGTGTCCCTTTGCTCATTGAAGTGCCAATTCAAACGTGCACCCCCCTCTCTCCACCTCCTGCCGTGCATGTCTCATCCATATCTCCACGTCTCCCGCAAAGTACACGAGCCACATGGAACGGGCCCAAACAAACAGCAACAAAAGAAAAAGCGCACGGCACTGCACAAACCACACAAACACAACAACGTTTGCGCGGGAACACCAACCAAGATGGCGGACGAGGTGAGGGGCACTCGTCGGTGTACGGAGATGTGGGTGGTGCGGTCGCTCCCCCCCCCACACACACATGACATGCGTGATGGTGGGCTGGCTGTCCAGATTCATATGTGTGTGTGTGTGTGTGTGTGTGTGTGTGTGTGTGTGTGTGTGTGTGTGTGTGTGTGTGTGTGTGTGTGTGTGTGTGTGTGTGGGTGAATGAGTGGTGAAGTAAGGGAAGCACGAGAGCTGGGAGGATTGTCACATCACACCACATGCACGAGCGTGTGCTGCATGTGCACTGATGGATGAATGTTGATGCTGTGGTGTGCTGAACCCAACGTCTTGACCACAGGAGTTGTATGAGGTGGAGGCTGTGCAAGGCATGTTTACTGACAAATCAAAGAAGAAGGCGTACTACCTCGTGAAATGGCTGGGCTACCCTGCCTCGGAAAACACCTGGGAGCCTGAAGTATGTGTGCATGTGCGAACGACCTTGTCTGTTGGTATGCATGTCAGTGTAGGTGTCGGTGTTGGTGTGCATGTCTACATACGTGTAGATGAACTCTGTGGAAGTGTAGATGTGTCGCTGTACTTGAACATGTTGTTGTTTTTGCTGTTGTGTGTGAGTGCATGCATGTGCACTGCTGCAAAGCGGCTGGACCACGTGGTTGTGGGTGCATGCAATGCAACCTCATGGGGCGCGCACACATGCTTGCATCTGGTGTGCGCTTCCTTCCCTTCTTCTTTCCCTTCTTATCACAACACAGCGCATCACACCACGCCCTCACATCCTGTCTGCATGCAACCACTTCCACTCCAACCCGCTCTCTCTCTCTCTCTCTCTCTCTCTCTCTCTCTCTCTCTCTCTCTCTCTCTCTCTCTCTCTCTCTCTCTCTCTCTCTCTCTCTCTCTCTCTCTCTCCCCCTCTCCCTCTCCCTCTCCCTCTCCCCTCCCTCCCTCCTCACACACACTCACTCACTCCCTCTCACTTACACACACACCCTACACACACTCACACTCCCCGACCCATCCCCTCTCCTACATCCCCCCCCAACACACACTCACGCATGCCACAATAGGAGGGCTTGGAGCTGTGCCATGGGTTTGTGGAGGACTTCAACGAGAAGCACAACAAGCTGATATCCTGCGCAAACAAGCAGCCTCGCGCAGTGACGTGCCGCACATACATCGCTTGGCAGGGCGTGATGGAGCCCGTGTACCACTTTGACTACGGCCCGCGCATCCAGCCCAAATGGGTGCCCCAGCGCTACCTCAACAAGCGAGAAGCAAAGAAGGTATACGAATTCGAGCACGCTCTGAAAAAGCACGCAAAGCGCCGCAACGCTCAGGCAAACATCTCCACACCACCAGCAACCGTCAACAGCTCGACATCAGCCACATCAGCGAGCAGCAGCGGCAGCACCACGTCCACCACAGCCCCGACATCGACGTCGTCAGCAAGAAGCAGCGGCAACCAGCCAAAGCGCCCAAAGCTCACAACCTCTGCCCCGCCATCAGGGTCAAAGAAACAGAGCCGCTTCGTTGACGACAGTGACGGCAGCAGCGACGACGACGACGATATTCGCGCGCTCAACACCAGCAAGAAGGCAGATGCAGCAAAGGACAAAGACTTCAAGCCTGCCATCATCAGCAGCAGCAGTGACGATGATGATGACGTGATTGTGATGCCCAAGTCCTCACAGCGTGCCGTTACCGCCACGAGGAAGCCACCCAAGAAGAGCATGGGCGGCAAGGGAAAGGGGGCGCTGCGGGACCCTCGCCTCGCGGGTACAGTCAAGGCAACGCCGAAGCGCACCCGCCCCCTCAGCTTGAGTTTGGACGGATCCAGCGCGCCAACTACAAAAACACGAGCATCGAGCACGGGCTCCCTGCGGTCAACATCGAGGTCAGCGGCCGCACAGACCAGGACAAAGAAAGCCACATCAGCCCGCAGCAAGCTCGATTTGCTGCAGGGGATGGACAAGCTTCGTTCCACACTGCCTGCTGCAAAGCCACGGTCTTCTCGAAACAAGAACCCACCCCTGCCGTCCGTACCACGATCCCTCTCCGACACCACCACCACCACCACCACCACTACCTCGTTCGCTGCGGGGTGGGGCATCTCACCGACATCTGCTTCCTCAATCTCATCCCCGTCATCGCCGCGACCATCAAACGTGAGTAGTGGTGGCTGGGGAGCTGCAGGCGCAAACAACAGTAGCAGTAGCAGCAACAGCACGACGGCCACCACCACAAGCGGCTGGGGACTCGCAAGTACCACCAGCACGGCTAAAGCCAGCGGCATTGACGGTGGCAATGGTGTCAAGAGAGAAGCGGCTTCGGCATCACTGGGCTGGGGTGCAGGAGCGCCAAGTACAAAGAAGGGCGATATCAACCCATCACCTGGCACGCGGCGCCGCCGTGGCTCATCATCTATGTCAACAGCAGCAGCAGCAGCAGCAGCAGCAGCAGCAGCAGCAGCAGCAGCAGCAGCAGCAACAGATAGTCCACTGAGCAGGTGCACTGGGCGGAAGCAGCAGCGGCACCGCCGGCGCTCTCCCTCCTCGTCGCCGTCGCCCGAGCCACGCGGCCCGCATGTGTCCTCCACACCCACCACCATCACAACCCTTGCTGCCGAGGGCGCTGCGGACCTGGAAAGCCGGGAGCCGCAAGTGGAAACGCGGCTTGACCACCTATTCAAGGGCACACCCCAGCACATGGAGGCGGTGAAGCTGCTGCAGGAGTACCTTGACCGCGCCGGCCCCTCCGTCAGCATTGTGTCTGCGGCAAGGATTGACAACCCGGTGTTTGAGGCAGAGTGGAACCTCAAGCTGGAGGACCTGGAAGCCACCGCTCGAAGGCGGGCAAAGTCTGCAGCCGTGCAGGCAGGGGCGAAGAAGGTGAAACGCAAGGCATACTTCATGCTGTGCGACACGATTACGGCTGCCGTTGATCTCTGTGCAAACGGGCTCACGCGTGAGCAGCAGCGCGACCCGACCAGCCCGCTCGACAACAACGGCGTGTACGCGTGGCCGTGCCCAAACTTCACGGAGCACCCGCTCCCCGCTGGGAAGGAAACGTTCATTTTGCTGTTTGAGACGGCTTATTACGACAGCTCGGTGATGCTGGTCACGGACGAGACGCGGTATGAGCCCGAGAGCGCGGACGTCCACCACTGTCGCTTCCTCTCCAGCGCGCCCAAGCCGCACCCGGCCTTCTGCTACTCCCTCTTCTTTGATTTTGATGACGACGGGTTTCGGCAGCGCCCGCGCCAGCTCAAGCCCACGTTCCTGTACCACGTCGTCACCGGGGAGGTGGACCAGCCAACCCTGCGCGCGAGCATGGCCATGGTGGACCTGGAGCTGCGCGAGTACCACACGCGCTTGCGCAGCACCGGCCCAGCTTTGGCATCCGGCCCGCCCGCGCTGTCCACGGTGCCGGACCAGGCACTTGAGCCGGACCCCTTTGACATGTGGGCAGCGGCGGATGTCGGGTTGCCACCGCCCGCACCATCACCGCCCGCACCACCAGCACTTCCGCCAACCATGGTGTATGTCGACATGACAGCCGTGGCATCTGGCGCGCACAAGCAGAAGCATTACCACGTGGACGTGGACACAGACAACCTGATGCGCCATGTGCTTGCAGGGGTGGATCCCGGCGAACGCATTGCCAGCCTTGCTCCGTCCTTTGACAACGACATCCGCGAGCGCTTGGAGGACCGCCACCACTTTGAGCTCCTGGATACGTTTCGAAACCGCTACAATCGCATCGGCTACAAGGGCATTCGCCCAGACGCGCGCATTCGCCGCTGGCTGGAGCAGCTCAAGTCTAACTCCACCGAGCTTGTGCTTGTTGTCAACCCCGGCGGCGGTTCAGACAGCCTGTTCTTTGTCCCCGTTGCCACGGACGCCCTGGAGAAAGGCATTCGCGTGCACATGTGGTGCTGGCGAACTGACTTCACGGCAGAGCTCGGTGGACTCAAGGACCGCTTTGAGGAGTTGTTTCGTGTGACGGAGCTCCAAACGCAGATGGTGGTGTCGCCCCCCTTGGGCACCGGCCGCGCCGAGCCTCCCAGCAGCAGCAGCCCAAAGGCCCCTGATATCCCGTGGGGCACGCCGCCTTCACCCCCGCCTGCAACCTCCTTTGACGCCGCTTCAGCAGCAATGACCCCACGCACACCCGTCGCCCAGTCCTCGCCCAGTATCCCTAGCAGCACGGGCACCAACACCGGCAGCAGCGGTGATTGGAAAGGGAAAGCCACCCCCACAGGCACCACAAGCTCCAGCCACGGACGCCAGCCGAGCGGTAGCGACAAAGCAGACATGGGCCGGGACCGAGGCTGGGAACGAAGCGCGAATCGCGACCGTGACCGCGACCGTGACCGCGACCGTGACCGCGACCGACGGGGCTCGCGATCGTCTGTGAGCGACGGTGCAAGGCGCGACAGGGAGAGGGATCGTGGCCGAGGAGGAGAGCGCGATCGACCCCGGCGCGACAGCGAGCGGAGCCGGAGCCAAGGCAGAGGAGACCGTGATCGCCGCGACGTTGGAAGTGGCCGTGACAAGCGTGGAAGTGTGGGCGGGCGAGGGTTTGGCCGTGACCGTGACCGTGACCGCGACCGCAGTCGGGATAGAGGTCGAGGCCGTGGTGGGCGTGGTGGTGATCGTGGTGGGCGTGGTGGTGGGCGTGATGGTCGTCGGTTCTCTGACCGCCACAAGCCGTCAGACGTTGGGAACTCCTGGGGTTCAGCACCGATTCGTTCCAGCCCTTCAACATCAACCGCCTCTTTGGCATCAGCATCTGCGTCCTCCCTGTGGGGTTCTCCTTCGCCAAACACAGGAGCAGGAGCAGGAGCAGGAAAAGGCACGACCGCGCCCTCGTCCGCCAGCGCGGCCATGTCTGCGTGGGGGAGCCCTACGGCACCAGCGTCCACTGCAAACGCGGCTGTCTCAGGGTGGGGCACACCCAAGGGTGCTGATAGCCAGGGCTCTGACGTTAGCGTGAGCTCCCCAGCTGTGGCAGCAGGCAAGGCCGGGTTTGTGTGGGGCGCTGCGTCGCCCCAGGCCAGCAAGCCCGTGAATGCATGGGCAGCGCCTTCAAACGCCCGACAGCCGGAACAGCCGTCTACGGGTTGGGGTGTGGGCGCAACACAGCCCGCACCAGTCGTCGCGGCCAAGCAGCCAGCGCATGCCGTTGCGGCATCTGCGTGGGGCGGGAAAGTGTCGTCCCCAGCAGCGCCGTCCAAATCACAACAACCTGCGGCGGCGCCATCATCAGCCTCGTCGACACAAGGCAGTGCTCCCGGCATGTGGGGTGGGCAAACCGCACAAGCCAAGCCGCAGGAGAAGGCGGGCGGCGTTGCCACGACTGCTGCACCAGCGCATGCCTGGGGCAGCACAGCAGCAACAGCAGCAACAGCAGCAACAGCAGCAACAGCACCAGGTCCTGTGCCACAGGCACCGTCACAGCAGCAAGACGGCGGGAAACAGCAGGCATCACGACCCAGCCAGCAACCTGCACATCCGCCGGCAACGAGCGGAGCAACCGGCATGTGGGGAGTGAAGGCGCCAGTGCCAGACTCATCAACAGCAGCAGCACCAGCGACAGCACCAGCAGTGACAGCAGCAACAACAGTCACAACCACAACAGTACCAGCAACAACACCACCAGCGACAGCAGCAACAACACCAGTCACAACCACAGCGGCTCCAGTAACAGCGGCAGACCCAGCCCAGGCGTCACACCAGCAGCAGCCAGTGGTTCGTGGACGTGGGCGTGGGCGTGCGGTTGGCCAAGCCTCATTGACGGCAGCGGCCACACTCACAGCAGGAAATGCTGCATCGGTGCCCCTGCAAGCAGCTGCCAAGCCTGTGAGTGTCGATGGCGGCAGGAGCGGCTTGGAAACCCAGCAGCGTGAGCCACAGGCATCGAGCGCGTGGGGGGCGCCAGCACCGCCGGGGACGGTCAGCCGTCCAGAACAAGCAAGCGCCTCGGCGCTGTCCTCATCAGCAGGAACACTAGGTGTTGGTGGCCATGGTGTCTCGGCATCTAACACAACAGCAGCAACAAGCGCATGGGGCGTGCCGGCACCCAAGGCAGCAACCCAGGCTGCAGAAACCACACCCTCATCCGCCACACCGCCATCAGCGTGGGGCGCAGTCGCACCCCGAGCAGTCACAGCGACGGCAACGGGCGGAGCGTGGGGGTGGGCGTCGGCGGCGCCTTCAAACGATAAAAAGCGAGAGCAGCGGCCCCAGGAACCCAACCAGCCGCAAGCGACTGGTGGCAATGGCTGGGGAATGGCACCGAGGTCAGAAGCGGCACACCCCCCTCCTGTTCCGCCGCTGCCAAGCGATGATACCATCCGCCATGCGCTGAACAACAACAGCCACAACAACGGCAACGGCAGCAGCAGCAGCAGCAGCAGCAGCAGCAGCAGTGCGTGTGCTGACGGTAAGGGTGGCACTTCTGCGCCGGTGAGCGCTTGGGGTAAAGCACCTGTTGCCGCTCCACAGGCAAACAAGGAAGAGGAGAAGAAGCCAAACAGCACAGACACGGGCAACTCAGCTACAGCTGAGGCGCAAGCCACCACGAGCGGAGAGAGCCAGCCAGCCACCAAGGCATCAGAGACTGCAACCAGCTCTGATGGGAAGGGGGCTGTTCTTGGGATGTTTGCAGAGCAAACCACCGGTGGCGCGCTGGATGAGGAGTCCCCAGCCGTGGTTGTGTGGGAGGGTGAACTTGGTCAGGCGGCCCCAGCGCGCAGCCTCGTTCGCGGCTTTCAGGTGCAATCGCCGCTGTCTGAGGACGGCCATCTCCCGACCCTGCCGGACTTGCGAGCAGCGCTTGGGTCCCTGGTTCAGATCACGGGCCAGAGCTGGCGACCAAATGCAGAAGTGCGGGTGCCGCTGGAAGACAAAGGGAAGTGGCAGCACGCGTTCTGCCCGGCGAATGTTCTGCGGGCCATTCCTCAGTTCAAGTCGCTTGAGAAGCGCGTGAAGGACAAGAAGGGGAGTCAGTGTCTTGAGCTGTTTCCCAGCAAGAGCACAGGCGCCGATGTTGGACTGCGCATGTTCCTGTTACACTCTGAAAGCCCGCTTGCTGTGCCTTCCGAGGAGCAGCACCGCTTTGTTGTCCTATTTCTGTGGCCTGTGTCGGTATGACCGTTCCTGTTTGTTTGTTTGCTCGTTTGTTTGCTCGTTTGTTTGCTCGTTTGTTTGTGTGTGTGTGTGTGTGTGTGTGTGTGTGTGTGTGTGTGTGTGTGTGTGTGTGTGTGTGTGTGTGTGTGTGTGCAAGGTTGAGCGTGGCGTGTTTGATGTGGGGAAGATCGAGAAATAGAATCAACCAAAGATGACCAGCAGCACCCAGCTTGTCGAGTATGCCGTACCATGTGGGGGATGGAGTCAAACTGCTCTTCTTCGTCGCCCAAGCGAACTTTGCCGTCCTTTGTACGTTGGATCTGTGTTGCCGAGGGGAGAAGGGGAAAGGTGCGGCGTAGCCATGTGTGGTGGTGTGATGTGTGGGAAATGAAAGGAAAGCAGATACGAAGAGAGGGGGGATGGCGGCAGAGGCAAGGGATGTAGGCAAGGGATGTAGCCAGCTCAATGCACAGACATGCAGAGAGAGAGAGAGAGAGAGAGAGAGAGAGAGAGAGAGAGAGAGAGAGAGAGAGAGAGAGAGCAGGTGCACACAGCCCCTGCCCCCCCACACAGCTACACACACACACACACAGCCACAGCCACAGACACCAACGGCTCACCTCAAAGTGGCGAACGGCATCTGGCGTGGGCCCTCTGACGGAGAGGATGCACTGGGACGTGGTCGTGCGCACGATGAACGTGCCTGGCGGCGTGCCGCGAAGCACGTCGATGGCACCCTCGCGTGAGAGGTCACCAAGGAACCTGCCACATGTTCGTGAAGTGGGGGTTGAAGTGAAGTGAGAAAGACGGTGTGACCGATGCAAGGGCTCACGTGGACATTTACCCACATTCACAACAACAACAACAACAACAACAACAACAACAACAACCACAACAACAACAACAACAACAACAACAACAACAACAACAACACACGCAAACACATGTACGCACACACGCACACACAAGAAGACACACATGCACGCACGCACGCACACACAAGAGGACGCACACACACGCGCGCACACACACACACACACACACACACACACACACGCGCGCGCACACACACACAC